CAAATGACTTCAGCCAATATTCTCATAATGCATCATCACGATTCCACTCACGAATCGATTCCACGATTCCAGATGCTCAAACACACACACTTGCATGCAGATACATGCCTGCAAATGAAGAGCTTCCCGTAACAGGATTGTGTAAGTGTCATTCTTACTTTAGAATCAATTTCTCTTGTTTTGTGTCCATTCATCTCTCAACTGAATGAATATACTTATTCATAAATATTTCTTCTTTTAAAAGGTGAACAACAGGAAAAGCCTTTCCTTTTCAAATCTTGAATAAACCTATTCTGTGCTATTTGTATATGAGTCAACCAAAGTAGATTCAAAGTTTTTAAAACATACTACACACGTGCATACTTGATTGAAAACCACTGTTCACCCAAGTACAGAAAGGAAATATGCACACACACACACACACACACACACACACAGCCATCTTTAACAGCATGTGTCAACAATTAATGGATGGCATTAGTAGGTATTTGATTGAGATGACATTTAGCACATCTGTCAAGAGGTTAATGGAGAAAAAGAAAAAAACTTTAGTATATAGAAAGACAGAGATGGACAAACAAAAGTAAGAGGGAGAATATTAAATAATTTTCTCTGGTCTAAAACACTTATTACAATATAATAAGAATTCTCATGATTAGATGCTATTTTTAGTAATATTATGCAACATACTGACCTCTTAAAAGTGTATTTAAAGGAACAGATCACCAATTTTTCATAGTTCACAAATAAATGTCTGCTCAGCTCACTGAATCGGATGATATACACTATGCCAGTATATTGTATATGATTCAATCGTGAATCAGACTGATCTGATTCTCGAACTCACTGACTCAATGACCCGATGACTGCTTTTCTTAAGCTCACTGGAGAGAATGATTATTAGTGAATAACAATTTAAATTTATGACTGTTCCTCATAAATTCACTATAAAACATGTGGTGACAATGTTTCAGGTTATGGGATGCCATATTGGTGCCTGTATATTTTAAATCACAGTTAACTGTATATAATATATTACAACTTAACAGTATATTTTATTAAGTGCTATAACGTTAATGCTAATCTACCATAATAATACAGGTGGTAAAGCAGAAAATTGAGTCATACACAAAAAGACAAAACACCTTCAGTAACACAGATGACACTATATGCAATAAACATTCACTTAATAACAAAATGTAACACAAAACACACCAATGTTCTTACAGTTTTTTTTTTTCTCACAGTATATGGTAAGATAAGTTAGAATCAACTAATTAACAGGCTTTAACTGCAGAATTTTTACAGTTTCTTCTATAAATACTCCAAACAGTTTACAGTGTAGTTTGGCACGACCTGTTACCCGAGGATGAGAAAATGATGACAACATTTTTATTTTTGGGTGACTTGCTCCTTTATTTCTGCTGACTGCAGGATGTAGGAGGATATTCAGTATGTGTATGTTTGCACGCATGTTTGTGCATGTGTGTAGATGGAAGTGTTTCCTCTTTACCATCTCACCTGGCTGTATTTGAAATCAGCTGTTTGAAGCCAGCAGAGACAAAGTGAGGGGAAGATAAAAGCAAATCTCTTCCTTTAACTACAGAGAGAAACTTTACTAGAGCACCGTTCAGTCCGGCAGACTGTTGAATGAGCGGCACACCTCTGAGCAGAGATTTGATGCATTTATACCCTTGAAAGAATATGAAAGAGTAAAACAGACTATCTCACCAAATGGCATGAACAAACAAATATGTAAGATTGGGACTGCAGCTCTGATGATAACAATGATGAGGAGCATGCAGCTGATAGCTGTGTTGCTAATCAGGCTCCAGCTGAACTAGGTCAAGTGCCACTATCCGTGTCTGATGTAACCAAACCCCTACGTTGAACCATCTCCATAGTTACCCAGCCCAAGCACAGAGGGGTTTTGACTGAAGTGGAAAAGAGATAAAAAGGAAAACAATGGCATTAATTGAGGACAGGCAATGCAAATCTGGAAATAGTGTACTCGTGTTTCAGTTTATTCAGGGCTTGAATTCATAAAATAAACAGGTTGAACTTCATATTAAGATACTTAGCATGGTGATGTGACAGTGACATTAAAGGAATGGTTCAACCAAAACTTTACATTTGCTTAGAATTTATTAAGCTTGTTTGTTCATTGGAATAGATTTGGAGAAATTCAGCATTACATCACTTGCTCACCAATGGATCCTCTGCAGTGAATGGGTGCCGTCAGAATGAGAGTCCAAACAGCTGATAAAAACATGACAATAATCCAAAAGTAATCCACACCACTCCAGTCCATCGGTTAACAGACTCATCATTTAGATGTTTTTAACTACAAACCGTTGTGTCTGTCTAAAATACTAAAATAGAGTCCTCAATACATAATATTGCTTTCTCCAGTGAAAAAGTCGTCTTGCCTGAATCACAGTTTTTCACTTCATATGATGTTAATTGATGGACGGGGGTCTTGTGGATTACCTGTGGATTACTGTGATGTGTTTATCAGCTGTTTGTATTCTCATTCTGATGGCACCCATTCACTGCAGAGGATCTACTGGTGAGCAAGTGATGTAATACTAAATTTCTCCAAATCTGTTCTGATGAACATCTACATCTTGGATGGCCCGAGGGTAAGTAGATTTTCAACAAATTTTCATTTTTGTGTAAACTACTCCTTTACTATTGAAGTGCCAGATGTGATCAGTGAAAGTAGAGTGCATGTCATGTTGTCATGGGATTTCTGGATCAGTGAGGAGACAATGGCCATCACATGCAGCAGACTGAACTCGAGTCATCAGGGTCATGTTAATCACAGAGAGGTCATTGAGTGCCATGGGAGCTTAATCTCTTCATGCGCCCTTTATCTTTAGGGCTCGGTGCTCTTATACACAAGGACTCTGTGGTCAGTCTCATTCTGAAATCACTCATTCATAATCATCTTATTTCTGGAATGATTGCGATTTCACTTAAAATACCAGTGCCTTCTAAAGTGCCTTGTCTGTGTGTTGTGTTTTTACACTGGACTGAAATTGCTAGTCAATTTCACAAATGATTACAAAGAAATAGCAACACATTGAATTCACCATGAACATTTAAAGTAGAAAGACCAAAATAGTATTTTTCTTTCAAAACATACTCCAATAATCTTTGTTTAATTTACAACTACAACCTGATTAGATTTCTTAGTTCCCACCAGACTACATAATTAAGTAATGCTAGATAATTAAAATAATGATGGAGGTGAAGTTGGGGTGGTGGAAGTTGTTGTGTTGTGTCCTTGTGTTGTGATTGACAGGATCAAATGAAAATGCTCCTCCCACACAAAATCCCCATTATTCCTTGCTATTTTGGGAATAATGGGGATATTGAGCACAGAAAAGAACTTAATGTGCGGGAACATAAACTACACAAAACAATGCAATAATAGTTTCTAAGAAAACATTTCTCTGAGCTAAATGGTGTAAATATGAATAGATAATACAAATTAGATTTAATGGATGAAGAACACAAACTCAGCAGTTATCTAATATTAATCTTTATTTAAACTTACCAAACAAATGAACAAACAAAAATGTGTACATATTAAGAGCAAGTGTAATATTAAAATATCAATTCATTTTTACATCAAGTTTGATGATGAAATGAAGGCAATTGAGCACAAATCTTAAACAGAAATCTAAAATAAAATAAAATAAAATAAAAAAAATTCTGATCAGGGTTTTCCAGAAGATGTATCTGCTGGTTAATCATGTAATTTCCAGTTATTCTTTAAAAAGTACTAAAAGTCACAACTGACAATGCATGCCAATAAAAAAGATCAAAAATCCTGATGGAGACACCTCGTATGATAGTGTTGGGAAGTGTTTTTATGGCAAACACAAGCCTTTAGTTGCAGGATTATGAAAATATTACAGTAGACAATTCTGGCCATTTCAAAATATAGACTATAAACAACATAGATACACATCAAGGCATTTTCACTATGGGAATTTAGAAATTAAGAAAATAGCAGGAGGGCAATGTATGTTGTGAAGTGGTTCAAGAATCCCATCAATATTACTACAACATCTAAACTATTACTGTTAAAGTAGATATTATGTAAAAATGTACATGAAAAGTTAAGTGTCGTATGCCTATATGTGCAATACTCGCAGACACAATATTGGAGTTGGCCTTCCAGGTATTTCCCAGCATGATTTGGTGTATCATTCATGCCTGTTGTACAAACGGTTCAGAATAATTTCTATAATACTCAAGGATAGGTGTCTGTTTAAATTCCTAGCCCTAAGAAAGAAAATAGTAATAGCACTCAATGCTTGTCTTAGCAGACACAACTAATTATAGCCAGAAGTTGAATTAAACTGTATAATATACAGTCTCTCTGTAGTCCAGCGCGGGACTCTAACTCCAGCAGTTGTGCTTTGAAAATATTGTGTATGTGCACAAATGGCTCTAATAATTTCAAGTCTGCAGAAAGTCAGACAGGGCTTGGAGATATAAGGAAGTCCGTGTCCTCAGGCTGATTGACAGGCAGACATGTTTGAAGTCATTCCTCACAAGCCTCAGCCAGATGGTGAGGAGAGAGGATGGAGTCTCCTCGCATAAAGTTTTCAGCAACCGAGCGTGTAATGAATAATTTTCACATGAATGAGAGATACACAGTGGTCACTGCAATCTTTTTAGAATATGCATTCACAGGCTTCTGGGTTACATCAAAGTGGAGGGCATGATAACAAATCAATACATCTCTCTCTAGATTTGACATGAATTATCAAAGCGTCCAAAACCATTGAGTATGTTGTGCTCATTACACGGTTCTCTGGAATACTTGATTCTGATTGGCCAATATACATAAACAGTAAATATACATAAATATTTGACCACAGAAAGCTGCAATTTAACTTTCTGAGGTCAAATATTTATGTGGACCTGGCAATCAGTTTCCCACATTGCTGTGGTTGTTTAAATCTGTATCACTTTGTGATTTGTACATCTCACACATTAAATTAATTTAATATTTTACATCCATTTATTTGATAAGTATCCGTGTATTAAGTGAACTAATATAATCAGCTGGTCAATAAAGCTAAATAATAGAGCAATACTGGCTAACTGACTGTACATTGCTTACTTGAGATCCAGGAACTGTGTTTTTTATACATTTATATTGAATAATATTCTGTACATTCATATTCTCAGCTGAATTGTGCTCATACAACCCATTTTTGTTGTATCATTTTCATTTTCAGTATATCCTCAGACATAGATGTAGAGGATACTGTACATTTCTGCATCAGGAAAGACAAACTAGGCCTTCAAATCTGAAGGCAATGTAAGATTGTTAAAGCCACTTTCCACAGATAAAATGTGTCATGAGTCTGATCTTAAAAAGTACAAAAGACTTTCAAAAGTCTTTTTAAAGCCATGAATGTGTTATAAAGGGTGATCAGATATAGCATTGTGAGCTCTGATCTTGTTCACACCTGCCTGCCAGATTGGCTGCTTGTCAGTATTTGTGTCTTTCTAAGTGTGAACATTTTGTGAGAACCAAGACTTGTGATAATGGCAGACTTGTGACAACGTATTTATTAAATTTCAGTCACGCTCAGCTGCCCCTGATGTTTCCAGGCTGCTGCACTTGACTTCATCTGAGGGGGGAAAATGCATGCAAGTCATTTATAAATGAACTTCTCTAAACAGAGACACACATATAAGCAGAATTCAGGCAGCATGTATTCAGATGTTCCTCTTTAGATTATTGCCCATTGTAGTGTGGGTCAATGTTAATAACAATAATGAGAGAAAAACATGCATTTTTCCTGAATTATTCTCTTACACACCTTTACTCTGGCTGTGTGATATCTGGGTTTGTGAAGCGGACATGGGTGTGTGTGTTTGGCCGGAAGGGTCTGTGCTTCTCAGGTCATCTGGGGGCCAACGTAACTCTCCGCTCTCCACCTCTCCCTCGGTGGGCTCCACTACGATGGAGGGCAGGCGCTTGAACAGCTTGGGGTGGCGCTCCTGTGTGTCTGGGAAAATCTGAAAATAAATGATGGTAGATTTTATCTGTCAGAGAGATGTTGAATGTTCCACTTACTTACAGTAAGTTTATTGACTTAAAGGAACAGTACAGCCCAATACTTTAAATATATCATCACACTCACCCGCATTTTGGTCTAAACCTGTATGACTTTCTTTTTTCCATGGAACACAAAAGGGAGTGAAGAATAACTAGGCTGTTTTCATATAATGAAAGTGAAAGTGGACCAGGGCTGTCAAGCCACAAAGTGACGAAATAACCCCAAAAATTGTCAATACAATAGCTTTGAATGATAGACAGGCCAACATTTCAGCCAATAACATCTTAAATTTCAGAGTATTTGTCACACAAAGCTATTGCATGACTTCGGAAGACTTGGAATATAGCAGAAATAAAATCCTATGGACTTATTTGTATTTTTTTATTTATTGTGTGTGTGTTTTGAAGCTGATGGGGAAATGACCAATGAAAAGATTAGATACCAACCTGAAAGGAAACGCCTTGTTCTCCGGTGTCACTCACAGTGAAGTCTTCTTGACTGTGTTCTGGGTTGTTCATTATATCTGTCATTCTAATGGGAAAATAAAACATAAATCAGCCTAAAATTCATCTAAACTACACAGCATCCTATGTTTAAAAAAATTATAAAAAATTCACTTCTGTATTATACAAATAAAGACCTTTCAGATGAATCAAATGAGAAGATTGAAGTATTTGTGGCAACCAAAAATTATATAGACAGAAATTATATAGAGCCTAAACTACAGTTTAAAAGTTGGCGTCGTTGAAATAATGTGTTTGAAGTCTCTTCTGCTCACCAACACTGCATTTATTTGATAAAAAATACAATAAAGACATTAATATTGTAAAATATTATTACAATTTAAAAGCAGCTTACTTCTATTTGAATATATCTTCAAATGTAATTTATTCCTGTGATGCAAAGCTAGATTTTTAGCATTCAGTGTCACAAGATCCTCGTCACTTTCTAATATGTCACTTTTGATCAATTTAATGCAACCTTGCAGAATAAACATAAAATCTTACGGACCTCACTAAACAATGAATGGTATTCAGATTATAACACTAGCACACCAATAAGCTTGAGCAATACTGAAGGAATAGGTCACCTCAATACTAACATTATGACGCCATTTCAATCCAGGCTATTTTTCGTCCATGAAACACAAAAGGAAATCTTTCAATTTTTTGATTATCATGATCATTCATTTTGTGTTTCATAGAAAAAGAAAAACACAGGGTGGAAGCAGATGAGTAAATAATGACATAATTTTCATTGTGCCTAAACTATCCCTTTAACAAAAAAGACACTTTGATCTAAATTCGTGCTCCAACAAGTCAGGTCCGCATTTGCATGTTTGTTCAGTCCGTGATCCCTAAAAAATCCCTTCCTGTCTCCCATTCAAACTGTCATGGTTTTAACAGCATGCACACAACCAAACACGCCACCTAAACTTTGCTTCAGGCTGCGTGCGGTGTGACAGGGACAACTCTGGTGTGTGCAGGTGGGTATGCAAATATGAAGCTTGGTAAAATAATGAAACAGGCCTCTATCATACTCATTCAGCTGATGGTGGTCTGAAGGACTCAACCCTGTTTGCAGTCTGTTGAACACACAGAAGTCATAGTCGAATGCTGAAGGATAACAAAACTGTGAACACATAAGCCGACACACTAGTACACCCACGCTCACGCACACTCACAAATCCTGTTCAATTATTCAACAGTTAAAGGCTAGATAGTACAAAGGCCTATTAAAACTATTCACGTTATTCTGACAATGAGACCCAAATTGATCAAATTGTAGTGCCCAGTGTTGTTATCATGAACTAAAAATAGTTTTAATTAATTGAAATAAATCTGAAATAAATAAAACATAAATATTAGATGGAAAAACTTCAAAGTTTAGAGCTTAAACCTGAAATGTTGCAACTAACTGAAATAAAATAAGTTTAAGGTGAAGTAATAAAATTAGTACAACTGAAATTAAAGCTAAATAGAAATATTTTTTCACAAAACAACATTTTTAAAAGATTACAAAAGCACATTTTTAAAACAAACTCAAATTAAGATGACTACATAAATATTAATAAAAACATTACAATAGTGATACAAATTAAACACTAAACAATGCTAAAATAACACTATAAAAAAGCCAGACATAAATTAGAGAAGTCATTGACTCTAGAGAAAAAGGGGAACCTTTTGCAGTGATGGGCAAGTTCTGAGTGAACTGTGAAGATGTTCTTCCTAAAGTTTGTGACAGGCTATATAACCATATTTTAAAGTTTTTAGATGAGAAGTAAGGAGAAAGTGTGAAAAAGAATATTGAAACAGATTTCTGTGGCGTGTTAGAAAAGATGTTACCAGGGAAGCGATATTAGGAGCATGCTGAGTCTAATTGTTTGAGTAGTATTTTGCAAAGAATGGCGAGGCTGTTGAATGCAGTGTGTTTTATGTCTATATTATGGTGTCATTAGAACAACACTGATAGATCCTCTTACTTAACGCTGTCCTTTAATTATGGCTTTGCTTAGAGTGAATATTGAGGCAGCTCAACTCACTGCCTTTAAAACAGACAAACATGCCATAAAGCATATTACAATGTTCCTTGATCAGTTCACCAGGAAATTTTTTAAATCCTGAAAGCCTCTCTTTTCCTTCATGACTGTAATCTATCATGAATAATAATCATAAAACAGTCACTCTCAGTGAGCTCACAAAAGGCCTAGACATGATTTGGCATGTATGGTGACGTCTGTTCTTGCAATCCCAAAAAATCATCTGGCAACCAGAGGCCTTTGGCACTGTATTAAAATTATTTCAAAGTAATTTCTTGTAAATTCCCGCCCTTGCTTATGGGGATTGATACAAGCACACACACACACACACACACACACAGGTTTGTTTTTGTGAAAAGTGGGGACATCCCATAGGCGTAATGGTTTTTATACTGTACAGACCATATATTCTATTGCCCTACACCAACCCTACCCCTAAACCTACCCCTCACAGGAAACTTTGTGCTATTTCAGATTTTCAATACACTCCATTCTGTGTGATTTATAAGCGTTTTGAAAAGTGGGGACATGGGGTAATGTCCTGAAAAGTCACCTTCTCCTTGTAATACCTATGTCATACCTTTGTCATTATACAAATGTATGTCCTCATTTGTCACAAAAACACACACACACACACACACACATGTGTACACACAAATACACTCTAGATCTCATGCATCAAGGTAAATTAGACTAAACCTAACATACAACAGCCAAGAGGTGTGGAGAATGTTGTGGGAAATATGATACCATATTTAGATTTTAAGGTCAGTCCATGACATGGGTAATTTAATACAAACATTTTTGTATTATTATTTTTGTTTCTTTAATATTTCCATATAGCTATATTTCTAAACAAACAAATAGACTTGATTTTTTTTTTTTTTTTTTTGCCAATTTAGCCATAACTATACATAAGTGGTCAAGGTCATGACATTAAGTGTTATGGCACTTTTATTAATGAGTTGTTTACTATACAAAACCATAGTAACAGGACTGAATATTTAAAATCGTCCCCTACTGACAATCCTCATCCTTGAAGAGTTCAAATCCTTGGATGACTGTCATTATGTCCGAGTTATTTATATTTATTTTAATGAAATTGGACATCATTGTGATAATTATTAGAGGTCAGTTAGAGGAAGTTAGGATGCAACAGTGTTGATGCATAACCTGGAGGCACATTTTAATCAAACCTATAATCTAACAAATACATCATTAGAAAACATTAGCTTTTATTTTAATATTCAATGTGTATATTTGATAATACAACAAAGAGAAGTGAGAAATACAGGGACAGACCAAAAGACATTATCTTGAAGAAAAACAACAGGGCAAAAAATAAAGTTAAAGGATTTTACTAATGGTGAACATGTCTATTAGCCTACAACACATATTTAAAAGTTAAGTCATGTTTTCACTGTTACAGTAGGCTAATTCATTTTTAATGTAGCTATCTAAGGGACACACAAAGCTCCCTTATAATAGAATGATTTTAAGGTTTCATATAGCCTATTGTGTGACTAATATGTAACTCCATCAAGGCAAATACATATACAAAATCTTTAAAAAGGTGTCAAATTGAATTTAGTCGCAGATATATTCATCAATACAACAGCCATATAAGCAATTAAAAGGATGTAGACACTAATTATAATGCAGTTCTACTGTAAATATGCTGTTGAACCTTAAGTTTTGAAGCAATTTACATCATATAGCCTAATATGGTTTTAATAATACCCTAAGCTTTCTTTTTCACACTTCACACTAAAACTGTAATGGACCACCATTTCACATATGACATACCTTTATTTTGTCCCCTTCTGTTGTTGAAGCGCGTGGAATGCTATTATATTGAGTATATCCTCCCGTTAAACTCGCACAGCTTCCGTTTACATCAGTCTTTCCAGCTCGAGCGCGCATCTGACCTGCAGCGGAAAGTTACTGTTGAATGCTGTCATAGTGCTTGTGCTCATCCTGCCAACGTCATTCATTTACATGTCGAGAGCTGCATACATGCAACATCAATCTCCCAACGATTGGTTAAGAGAAGCACGCAGCCACGTCGTCATCACAGCTTGCTTGTTCATGTAATTTTTGGGATCTCTGATTCCAGATGATGATTATTACGCAAGTGTTTGGGTGAGTTCAGAGACCTGAACCACTGAAGCTGATTATTAGAAGCGACAGGGTACAAAGAAAATGCTTAAAACTTCCTCAGAAAGATGCGTATATTTCATGTTACTGGTTAATGATATTATAGTAAAGCTATTGCGTGCTTTAATATATATTAGAGCTTGTCTGGTTAAAGAAAGGTGAACGCTGTTGAAATCTCTCACGTTGTTGGTTATAGATCGCTAATGCCCCCTGCTGCTGAAAGTAATTATTGACCATCATTACATTA